AGGGGGTTGGGAGCGGGTGAGGAGGCGTAGGTTCCTGTGAGGTGGTGAGATTGAGGTGAGGTTGGGGTGGGGTGGGCGTATGATGCTGTCAGCCTCAGTCAGCAGAGGGCCTGACACCTGACTGATCCCAATTCCCTCCAAAACTCCCAGTTCCCACCTCACTCAGCCCCTTGTGGCCACAGATGTAACGTGTACACTCTACCCCTTCTCTGGATTTCATTCATATAAAAAACCAAGCCACTTTCAAAGTGCTGTGCATCCCTCCATTACAAAATCATCACATTTAAATGTAGTCCAGCTTGGCTGCAAGAGCAGAAGTTTGTCAAAGAAGAACTTCACTTACATATTACAGTGAAACGGAGGCATGTTAAAAAATTGTAAATGTAGCGAGTGGAAGTTTCCATCCACAGCAGGGACTTGTTTTTGTGTCAAATAGAGAAAATAATCGAACCGCGGGGACCTTTGTGACGTGTTGAGACTGACTGTAGCACCGAACCACTGTGCCAAGAAACCGGCTCAGGTGATATGATGTAATTTTATAACGTGAGTGCTGTAATTCTCCAGCAGTTGTCGTGTTTACGGGTGCAGTATGTTGCATTTTTTGTAGATATCTGATATGCCAGTATTTCCTCACTCATTTTGGCTGATGCCAGTGGTGATACATGCACATATTTATTCCATCTAACAGCAGTGAAATCAACATGTTACTTTGGCTGCTCTTATGGGATGGCCCTCTGGCAGATGCAGACATAAAATACTTTTGAAACATTCTCTGAAAAATAAGAAAACTATTTCAACTTGCACGTAAAACACACCATATTTATTTTTATGTAACAAGACTGTAAACTTTAATCGTTATCTGTCTGTTGGTGTTTCTTTCATGGGATTTCAATATTTTATTTCAAAGCCTTTATTGATGGATACCGACGATGATGCCAATAGGACATAGCAGGTTCTACCAATACTGGGGAAAAACATAACCAGTCTAACCACTATATATATTTTGCGACTTACATTTTTATTTTTTTCCCATACTTGTCTAATCTCTATAAGCACTGCTTGCAGTTCAGCCATAAAGCCTCATTTTTTGTTCACGTCTGTTACACCTGAGTCATTGCTATCTTCATGATTGCACCAAAGAAGCCCAGAAATTAGTTCTGTTTAGTGCAAATGGCTTATTTTTTAGAGAATTTTACAGATGACTAGTTCAAGGACTGTCTTACGTTTGAAAATCGGATGACTCTTTCTGTTTTTGTAGTTTCTGGCTATGATAAATGATGTCATTTTGACGATTTTGAAACATGTCTTTCATGGGTTTTGGGGATCAGAGGGTTAAGAAGTTGGTTGTGAACATAGAAACATTGTGTTTACGACCTGACTATGCCACCTCACATCTGTGGGTTTTCCTATAAACGAGACATCAAGTCAAAACATTTGTTGACCTCTCATGTCAACCAGATTGTACACTTAGTGTTTCCCCAAATTAAAGCCACATATTCCACATTTCCCAGCACACACAAGAGAACTGTTTCAACCTAAGTACTGGTTTCAGTCTAGTGGAGCTGGTAGGGTCACGACTATTGGCCTTGACGTTGTTTTCTTTCTCCACTCTTTGCTTTGGGCCAGTCTAGCAGCTGCAGATGAAAATATGATGGTTTCATGAACAGTCTCAGTTGTTGGATTATTGGATTTGGACTCGCCAATTTCCTGTACTGCTCTGCGAAGCACACATCACGAAATTTTCATCTTATTTTATGCGCAACCATTTCATGCTTGAGCTAAAAGTATTTTGCAAAAGCGCGCTTCCTATTTTAGCCGACCGCTGTGTCAATACCACCAGGTCTGACTGCCGCGCCACAATGATGCCTTCTATGCCGAAGTGAAGTCATCAACCTTCACCGCAACTGTGTGTTCCTTCGAAAAAGAAATTATTAGTGTTGATATAACCTTGTTCCAAACAAAGATTCAAGGCCTGTGCACACGAAGACACGCCGCTCCTTGAAACCTCAAAACCTTTTGGGGGCATATTTACACTTGGCAAGTGTACGCTCATCCGGTGAAATAGGACGACAGTTTAAAATCCACAGACCGCCCCGTGTAAACATGCGATGTCTTAAAGAGGCGCTGGCTGGTTTAAGCAAGGCCACGTGAAAGGAAATGGCTTCCATATGTCAGCAGCTCGGGCTTTCCTCGTGCCCCTGCTTGCAGGATGTCTTCTTTTGAGGGTTAATAGGAATTAGAAACCTACGAAGGAAAGCGGAGGAGTGAAGTTCTCTCCCTGGAAAGTAGAAGAAGAATCCTGCGAATCCTGCGGTACGAGCTTTGATGTAAATCTCAAATCAGGTGAATCTGAGGCGCTGCTTTCTCCACGCACACACGCAGGGCGAACATTCCTGCGCAGACACACAGCACGTTGTCAGATTACTTCCTTTCGTCATGTTGATTAATGCACACTGGCAGATGCTAAGGTGATCACGGCCCTGCGGAGAGCGGCGGCCACTCTCTCTTTGCGTTTTCCTTCAAAGACGCACCACACTCCTCCGAACTATCCATCTCTCGGCTGTCCTCCTCAAATCCCCTCACACCTGGCTCTGCACCCCTTGAGACATCTTTCTTTTTTTCTCTCCCCAAACCCTTCTCTTGCCTTTCTCCGTCCAACCTCCCCTCCCCAATTTATAGCTCATATCTTCACGTGCTCCGTCCTCCCGACTACCGTTAATGCTGAGCTGTCTCCCCTCCCTCTGTTCTCCTCAAACTTTTCTTTCACCTTTCAACAGGCTGAAAATCTCCCTCTTCCTCATGTCACCATCTTTCCCTTTGTTTTCTGACCACTTTTTTTTTTTTTTTACCTCTTCTCTCAGCACTCCTGACCCGCAAGTAGGACTCTGGAAAAACTAGGCAAACAGAGGCATGTAGCTCATAGTGTCAGTGTAGGGAGACGCAGCCAGCGCATGACAGGGTTAATCAGTGTCATGGCAGCCGGAGTGGGTATCTGGTTCCATTCAAACATGAAAAAAGCCATGAAATTCTTCAACCCTTCCTCTTGGGTTATTATTTCTGGATAGACAAACATCGCATGAATCCATTAATTCCACATATTTTGCCTTTAAATAGACTCTTGTGCAGGTGCAGGATATGATTAAAAACCAATTTCTCGATAATCAGTGACAAAGCAGGTTTTTATTTTTCTTTGCATGCTGCACACACTCCGGTGTGTACGTGTGCGAGGTGCACGGTCAACCGCGTGACAACAAAGCCGACGTCACTCCACAGCGGCGTTGTGATCTGTGCAAATGAGGCGTGTAATGTTTGCATGTGGCTACCTGAGTCGCTCATCGTAAACGCACACACCTGTTTTGAAGTCGCCCTTATCTCAGCCTGGAGGAAGTAAAAAAAAATAAATAAATAGTGTGTCATGAGTTTTCTTGACAGCCTACGTGCAAAAAGTCACAAGGTGAAAAAAAACAAAAACTGTGTGTTGCAACGTCAGGAAGGATCCCGAAAGAGATTTTTCCCTTTTCTTCTTCATCACAAGACACGCTGTCACACTCTTGAACGCGGCGCAAGCCTTTAAAAATTGTCCCGTCGCCCCCTTTGGGCTAATTACAGAAAAGGCTCCTCGAGACAAAGTTGCCGGCCGCGCACACATATGTCTGTGTGTGTTGTTTCCGCTCCTCGGCGCTCATTATTGACCCCGGCCTGAGCTCTTTCATTAGGGGGGCTGTGAAGTGGAGGGACGAAGGGGCCGGTTGGGGATCAGGGGACGGGGCGGAGGTCGTAATTGGGCTGTTCCGCTCCCCCCGGCCTCGCTCAAGGTCACCGCCAGACAAACGGTGGGCCAGGTCTCTCACTCGTTTTTTTTTGCTTTTCCTCCCCTTTTCCATCTCTCCTCCTAACCTCCCTCTAAAACCCACACTTTTTTTTTTCTCCTCTCCCCTCTTTCACTCATCCTCTCCTTCTCCTGGGGTCTTTTGTCACAGCAGACTGGTCCACTGGGGAGACACAGAGAAGCGGAGGGGCTAATTCAGTCTAATCTTTTAGCCTGTTAATGTCTGGCTGATATGTGGATTTCTTCACATCCTCGGGGGAAGGCCTTTGTGGTGAAGGCCATCATTATGAAGTTTCCAGGCCCTCCTAACCAATTATAAGGAGGGGAGACAAATTAGTTCATCTCAAACTTGGCTCCTAAGAAGTTTTGCCTGATTGTTCTCAACTTTACTTCACATCTCATACAAAAGAGACAATTCACAGCCAAGGTTTTTTTTTTTTTTTTTTTTTTGATAAAAGAGAAGCCAGATAGTGCTCTGTACATTCTATTTAAAGGAAGAGATTTTGAAAAAGGCTTGCTGATGGTTTTTTTTTTTTCTTTCTTTTTGTACAACATCCGTCATGTGCAATCCTGTACACGGTTTCGATGTGGCGTTGCGGTGTAGCGTTGCTTGTCTGGCCCTGGCCAGCGGTGAGCTCGGTCTAACGTTTCCCTCTGATTAAGACGCAGTGGTGAAAGCTGCCTTTGATCTGAGGAAATGTCTGCGTAGGGAGCAGTTGGAATGCAGCACTCTCCTCGCCGCCTCGCAGATGGAAGGGGGGGAGAGATAGTGTCACAGTCTATTTGTCTGGCTGCGCCACTGCCAGTCCGCCCGTGATTGTAAAACATGCATGTTCGGGCCTTAATGAAATGAACATGATGCCCCCTGTTCGATTGGTGGAGAAATTGGATTACTTATGCTTTGTTTACACCAAATGGAATCAAAAGATGTTACTCTTAAACATGTGGCGACCTAATTGGGTTAAATGAGAGTCGTACAGTTGGGAGTCAAAGGCAGGAATGGGTTCAACTTTGTACGTTTATGCGATTGGCACCCAAAAATCTGTCCGATGAACAGAAATCAGTCAAGTTTTTCTCAGCGAATGCGTGCGATTGATCTAAGTTTTATTTTGAGTTTGAAGCACATATGTCACGCCCTTTCTATATTTTCCTCCTCCGTGTGTCTCTGCAGGCCTCCGGCGCTGGCGGGCAGTCCAGCTTTCTCCGACATCTCCCTCATTCGGATCTCGCCCCAGCGGAACCCATCCGTGGGGGCCGAGTCGCCCTTCCACCCTCCGCATCCCTACATCAACCCATACATGGACTACATCCGCTCTCTCCACAGCAGCCCCTCCATCTCCGTTCTGTCGGCCACCCGGGGCCTCAGCCCTGCAGATGGTGAATAAAGTGAAACATACACCGCACACGCACAAAAAAGCACGATGGCACACACACACACACTCACAATACAGATGTACGCAACAACACAAGCGGAGCGGAACCGGGCGATAAGGCCTCGGCAGACCCTTAAAAAATAATAGTTGAAATTGATTAGTGAGGTTCGATTGCTATTAGGAGGAATCTCAGCTCTCTGTATCAGTTTAATTCCTGTTTGGGGTCAGGTGAGAGGCAACCAGATCCATCTCTATTAAGACCCAGGGGTTTGCCGAGATGTTATCTGAGTGGGGGAGCCGGTGGATGGGAGTGTTATGAGTGCAGCGCCATCCGTGTGGGTGGGGGCTCAGGTTGGAGGGAGGCTAATCCTTTTGATCTGTGAGTCATGTCAGAGACCTCTGGAGGACGCATCAGCGAGCGGCAGGGTCACGTACAGTTACACAAGCGAGGGAAGGTCTGATTCAAGTTCAGGTTTTTGGGGGGGAGGTTGGTACGGTGTCAGGGAGCGTTTGTTTTCTGAGATCTTAAAGCTGACTTTGACTGGGAAATCAATTGAAATGGATTCCAGGAGCCAGTTTAATTATAAAAAAAAATGAACAGGACATTAGTTTTGAAGCTATTTAAAGGAAAACCTACATTCGGGAAATACATTAACCCTTTGAACCCTAAGAAGTTTTTAGATTTTTACTCACTGTGAGCTCGTTTCTCACTGTAAGTCCTGCACCTCTCTGGAAACAGCACAACCATGGATAGAAGTAGAGAGAACTCAAAATGTGTAATATGGCACAGTTCTCTCATGAATTGTAAAAAAGAGTTCAATTTTTTAGATTAATTTATCTCACAAAATTTGAAAAATCCTGACATACGTTTCCATGCTCGTCTCCTCTCTGCTCTGTGTAAACACTGCCTGCAGTTCAACACAGTTCAGCCAAAAACTCCCCGAATATTTCTCACATGTCTGTCGGTTGCAGCTGAGTCACTAATAGCTTCACAGTTGCACCGAGAAGCACCAAATTTTTGGATTTCTTCCAGAATCTGGTTAGAGCAAACTGTTTATTTTGGCGAATTTTCAAATGACATGTAGAATAAAGTAATTTTGATGAGATGTCACTATTTCACAAGCTCAGGTTTGGTTGGGTTCTCCAACAGAGCGGAGCGTCGCAGATGAGTCGTTCAAAGGTCGTCAGAAAGTTGAAAATCTAGCTTAAATGTTTTTTTGTTTTTTTTTAATGTGTTTACAGTTACTTGCACTGATTTTGATACTTTTTAAAATTACAGATAACATACCTTTCAAACCTGAGATCAAAAGTGTCTAAATGATGTGACTTCACTGTTTTGAATCCTAATAAGACAAAAAAAAAAAAAGGATTCATCAACTTCAATAACTATTTAGGACATATATTTAGGAAAATCCCACATATTTGCTGTTTCCAGCTAGTATATTGTTAAATATTTAACAACTTTAGGTTTGTAATGCTGGTGAGACAAACCAAACAACTGGAAAACTGACATTGGCATTTACTTTTATAGACTAAATAAATATTCAATTACTCTTTAAACAAAAAATGCATTAGAAAATCTCTAAAAATCTGGCAGCACATGTGCCATAAAAAATACGTTAAAAGATGGTGAAATGCTGTAACTTTAAAAATTGTAAAAACTGTGAAAATCTGTTATTTTGGGGCTAATTTAAATACAGTAAAAGTTGTGTAATTTTACTGTCACACATTGTGAAAGAACAAGTTACCACATTTTTTTAAAGGTTGTAGATTATGTAGATTAATACCTATTTTCTGAGATTTTAGTAACAGAATAAGAAAACATTTTTACAAAGAATTAAAGTTTAAAACTGTTCTTTTTTTCTTCTTTTTTTTACAGTGCAATCCCCAAAAAATGAAAAACAAATCAATGGTTAAAATAACTGTGGGGTGCAATCCTATTATTTTATTTTATTTTATTTTATTTTTGGCTAAGATTGAAGAACCAGTTTGGCGAACTGACCACATCACACCTTCCTCGTATCCACCTTCACCTCGTAGGCGTTGAAATGGCCCAACAGCCTGTAATGGCCCTCACGTCCGCAGCCATCAGCCTTTTGGCACTTCAGCAGCAGAGACCCACTTTAGCTGCCGGCCTTGTGCTGGAGAGCATTTCTGAAATGGCAGACAGCAGGGGCATTTCCTCGACACCGGTACACTTGACTTCCTCTCATCCAGGTCTTTTAAAAGCTGCGTCTAAGTGAAGATCCAGAGCCTCTCCTCGCTCAACCCCTCGGCTGCGCTCCCAACATTTGCGAACAGGAAGCTCAAAAAGCCTCTACCCTCCAATTTTCCATTACCACAACATAATGTGCACCAGTCTCACGTTGCTTTAAATCAAAATAGTTTCTCCAACCTACCACATGATCCCCCTTTTCACTTCCTAATGCTGTGAATTGTGAATGAGGCACCTAATTACTCCTTTAATCAATCCGGTGATTAATTAACCCATCAGCTTTTGTGTTGTTAGTATATCACCACGCTTACAGGGAGCCTCCTTCTTCAATATGCAAAGGTTTTTTTTTTTCCACCAAAAAAAGTACATTTGAATAATGATGAATTAATTAACAGAATCTAATGGAGATTTAAAGTGGGTGGGATTTAGTGCCACCCTCCTGCTGCCACACATTTGCTATTTTTTTCTTTGCTCCCTCCCTTTCAATATTTCTCTCTTTTCTATATAAGAAGGGGTTCAGAGGTAGGTTTGCCCCTGATCCTATTGTTGTGCTGAAGGAGCGCCCGGTGGCTCACCAAGTCCTGAGGCACTACTCTGCCTGCTCCACATCCAGTGCCACACTGACAGCCTTTTCCCCCCTTCTCTTGCTCCCCTCTTCTTTTTTTTTTTTTTTTTTGCCCCGAGGATCGCACTCGGATGCCAGAGTTTCTGATTTAGAAATTCCGCAAAGCTCTTTTCTGTGCACGGATCCTGAATGGGACACATTATGGTTGAATGTAAAAGCAAAGCTAAGGCGGAACACTGGAGACAATTAAGAAACTCCCCCCCTTCCACTGAAGACATAAAAGCCAGATCGAATTAATTTAGAATTTTTTTCTTCCATTCATTCAACCAATCATGGATGCATATTGCAGGCGTACAGGCCAGCCTTAAGAGGAAATCTCCTCATGCAGTGTTTCTTTATTTATTTCCTCTTCTTCAACTGGGGGAGAAAAAAAAAAAAAAAGAGCTGCAGCACTCAGTGGTCTGAACCGATTCCATATTTGCATCCAAAACCACAGTGTTAGTCTTTTCCTTCTCTCTTTCTTAGAATATTTGCATACGGAAGCCCACCGCCAGATGTTTATTTTTAGGCTACGGTTCAAGGACTTACAGCACTCTATAACTAAGGGAATGACTTGGAAACGGGAGGCATTTCGAGAAAAGAGGGAGAGCAAGTGAAGTGGAGGCAGAATCGCTCGCTGTATCTTTATGCATGCGGATCTATCTGGGCAGATTTAGGCCTTTTGTCTTCCCGTAGACTTTAAAAGGAGCGGAGTCGAGGAGCAGGTTGCATATCTGCAGACTGCAGCCCCGATGCGTACAACGCACGAGCGGCGTCTTTGGCAAAAGACGAGCCAGCCCACATACTCTTACCACACACACACATACGGTGCACATACACTCTGTCCAAGTGATCAAGGAACTGTAAGAGGAGGAGAAAAGGCTGTTTAAGAATTGTATTGTAAGACGATCAGTTATGCTGTTCTCGGCATGAATGCATCAATCAAACACTAATGCACACTCACTGTAATCTCTGAGCAAGCATCCGCTAATCCCCAGTGAGGCTCTCCACTTCAGGTGATGCTCCCCGTGCAGCTGTTTTGCTTAACTTGATGGTGTTGCTAATGTGCTCATTACTGTTCTGCTGAGCTGATTATCATCTAATGTAAATGAATGTAAGTCTTGTAATGCAGCGCAGGTGCTCTCGCTGTCATGTTTTCCTCACTAGCTAATAATTTTCCTCTCCTCCTCTCTTCTTCAAATGCTCCCTCTAATGTGCAACTTTTTCAGTGTTTCTCCAGTAGGTGCCCCTCATCTTTTTGTTCCCTCTTTGCTGACCCAACCTTGTTGTCCCCTGCTCCAGCCCCTCACACAGGTCTGACCACAGCCGAGTACTACCACCAGATGGCTCTGCTGGCGGGCCACCGAAGCCCTTACACCACCGACCTGCTCCCGTCTGTGGCGTCCACGGCCGGGGCGAGCACCGCCAGCGCCCTGCACATGGAGTATCTGCAGGCGATGGAGAGTAAGTCTGCACCGATCTCACACTTGACTCAATATATGGACAAACCTGCTTAGTTGAATTCTTCATATGTAGTATCCCATAAATAGCATAATGACATAAGAGTCAAAACTCATCCAGACTCAGAAACCTCTAACGGATCTTCTACAAGGCATATTTTTTGTATTTGAATGCCTATAAACAATCATTTTGTTCTTTATATGTTCATAAACAGATTCTAGATTTGCATAGTTGCACTAAAAAACCACATGTCTCCGAAAATATCAACTTGTCATGAACCCTGTTTTCAGCATTGTGGCAAAGCATTTTACACATAATCCAAAAGGTATCAAAACGGCTTATTTAGCTTAAGAGAAAGGATCAGTTTCACCAGTAGCAGAGCGCTTAATCCTTCATTTTCATCAAATATAAAGACGTGTAGCTTTCGTTGGATAGCGTCTTTATACGTTTTCTGAAAGTGTTCTTACACACAGTGACTTTATTCCAATATGTGCCATGTCTTAACCACATGATAAATAATGTTTGATTGACAGTTTTAGGCGATGCAAACCTGCCAATACTGGACATTTTACCAGATTGTAGCCCCTACGAGTGAAAGATACCTACCACATCCAACCCTACTGGGATTGCACCTTAAAGTGTTATGAGTGCATACCTGTGCATTAAAGCATGGGTGGCCCCCGGTGGGAATTGGAGCCTTTCTTCCCTTCCACGACGCACATATCTTGCTCTATATATAGATCAAGCTGCACCTCAACCAACAGCGAGGAGGTATCCGCAACTTTACTTTGACATCATTTAAATGAGCTATTGTCTTAATGTGTTGGGCTCAGGACTGTGTGCAGAGGACTTATGCTAATGAGTTATTTTAAAGTGTAAATAGGAAATTAAACGCACACTGAATCTTAGAAAGGTCGGACAGCCTCACCCCGCTCCCTTTGATGAGAATGTATTTAGTCAGGCAGACGCTGCTTTCATGGAAATCCGGGGTGAAGTTCCCCGTATTCCTCAGAACAAACTAATTAAAACTAGCCAAACTTGTGCGGGTATCAGAAAATTAATTGCTATTAAGTGGGAATTGGAATGTCCCACCATTCATCACTGGAGAAATCCTTTCTTCTGTGTCACTTTTTAAGATTAATAGACTGAAACAAAACAATTAGGGCCAAATTTAAGTGGAGATGCGGCGCTCCTCACTTAAAAATCGCCTGTGATCATTGCTGGTAATAACTCATCACGTTTCAACAATGTGTGTTCCTGGGCCGGGAAAAAAAAAAAATTAACACTTTAAAGCTTTGGTGGATTTCAGAAAAGAAAAAGAAAAAAAACATACAAAGAGCGGAGTCTATCAAGAGGCTCTCACTGATAATCTGGGCTACCATGTTACACTGCAGCTATTTTAGTCTATTTCAGATCAGTGTAATTACCTTCAGAGAGAGCTCTGCTAATGAAACAATGGGCCTGTCCTGCCTATTTGTGCTTTAATGGGCTATTGTCTACGTTCGTACCGCCTAATTAGCACCATCGCTCTCATAGATCACTATGACTAAAGTCTACACTACACTCAAGTCTTTATTTGTGGTCTTTATTAGCTCGTTTTAATCCCCTCGCTCTTTTTTTCCTACTAATTGTAAGTTGTTTTTCTTATAAACAGGTTTAAGCATTTAAAACACTGCTTTATATAGCCTGATTAATTGTAGCTATTAATTACATGGTAACACTTTAACTTCAAGACCTCATATTTAGCATTTATAAGCAACCTAAAGGTACAATAAATGTCGGATTTGAAATGGAGCTTTGAGCAGATGTGCGTGTTTATTATAGACTTTTGATCATATAAAATACATCTTAATAGGAGAGGGTGTGATGGTTGACGAATGCTGCACGTTAACAAACATACAAACATGTGATTACGCTGTAGCTGCTTACAACCGCAATACAGTGTGTTTATTAAATATTAATATGCTTCCTATGCATGCTTAAGTTCACTTATTGAGCTGTATTTTCTAGCAAATAAATGTATTTATTAATCAATATATGATCTTTATTTTAAAATATATGTTTACAATGACAAGATTAGATTTTTTTTGTGACCAAAATAATAGTTTCCTTTCCTATGACCTGGTTCAAGGAGTCACAAAAGAAGGACGGCACATCAGGAAAAACAATTAAAGCAAATTTTGTTTTGCAAGTTAAAAAGGAAGGTGTGGAAGTTGTGCGAGAGGCTCCTATTTATTATCCCTTCAGTTCTAACACTTTACATCTCCAAAATCAAGTTTTTTTTCCTGCTGCACAAATAAGAGCACGTCTTAAATCCACCCTCCAGCCCTCCCCTTGCGATAGCGTCCCTCTCAGGTGGCCCCCAGGTGTGTCGGTGAGGGTTCAAACCCCAGTTTTTGGAGCCAACTTTTATTTCCACCGCCGTCAGTCTGGCCTGTCTGAACCCTCCGCGGCCGCGAGAATTAATGACGCGGCGAGTAACCAGCCATCCCGTCCATAAATCAAGAGGAAATTAGAGGGACAGTCCTGCTACGAGCCGGGACGCTCCTCTCTCTGTCTCCCCCCGGTTGGCCGATTTATCATTTGGGCTGTGCATTAATAAACACCACTCCCATGAGGCTTTGCAGTGGTGGGACGCAGGCCCTTGCTCCTCTGCAATAAACCCCCCCCCTCCTCACTTCTCTCCTAATTCACTAGAAATGGATGCCGTCCTGCACATTCACTGAATTCAGCTTGTGTCATGTGTCAAATCTGGGCTGTAGAAGGTTGGATTTGTGCTTTTTTTGCAGGGTGTATGATTTGTCAAGGAGTGACGAACCACATTGTATTTAACAATCGTAAACGTTTGCTTGTGCGTATGTGTGCGCCCCCTTCACTTAAAAAAAAAGGGGAGATTTTCTATACAATGACAACGTAAAGAGGGTGTTTCTCTCCGCGCGGCTTCGTGCTGCAGATGAAACTCAGGCCTCTGCATGCCAGAACACCGCCGCTGCCACCACCGCGGTATCCATGCGCACACATTCGCATCCACACACTCTGATTACCATGTGAATGGAGCGCTCTGTAATCGTTGGATGTGTCAAACGAGAGATGGAGCATTTACGTTTTGGGAGATGGATGGATTGTGGGGGACGTAAATATGGAGGGGGGTTATCGGGGCTGCGTAAGCTGGTTTTGTTTGCCTTTTAGAAAATAACTCAAAATGTTTTATTTCCAAGTCTTGAGTCACAAAGTCATTGTGTCAGTTCACGCACAAAGCACGACATCCCCTCAGCGCTTTTTTCCCCCCCTTCCTTCCATCTCCCCTTGTTTTTCTCTGTCTTGTTTGTGACATCTCCATGTGAAAAGACAACAAAAGTCATGTTTTAATCTCTACCCGTGGCTCATTGTATGTGCAGAGTGAATGCTTGTGCCGTTTCCGCCTTTTACCTTTTCAAACCCCCTTTTAGTATTTCCAGTCAACACTGATTGCATTTGAATAACGACTCAAATTGGACTTGATTAAATATTACCATACACAGTCAGAGCATTTCTCCAACATAAAAGACATGTTTTCTCATGGATGAAATGCAAGCAGTGCATCAAGTGACAGCTGAACACTTATTCAGACGAGCCTTTTGTCTGATGATTGACAAAAATGTCATCTGTTAGGGTTAGATTAGGTTAGAGTTTGGATGAAGTCAAACAGAAACTCACGTATAAACCGGCAAATGATCATTTTTCTGAGTTTAACGGATTCTTCTTTAAAAAAAAAACCCCAGAATGAGGGAGCGGATTTACAGTTTTACATTTCACCTTTCACAGCAGGCGCTCATTCCTCTCTGCTCCAATCTGCCCCCTCTTTGCTCGTCTTGCAGGCTCTCGTTTCCCCAGCCCGAGGCTCCCATCACGGCCCAGCAGGAAGCGCCCCCTGCCCATCTCGCCCCTCTCCGAGCACAGCTTTGACCTGCAGACCATGATCCGCAACTCGCCCAACTCTCTCGTCACCATGCTCAACAACTCTCGCTCCAGCTCGTCCACCAGCGGCTCGTACGGTCACCTGTCAGCCGGAGCCATCAGGTAGGAGGCTGAGAGTTGCATGAATTATTCCCACATTATTATTCACTGAATGTATTATTTCGTGCTGCACTCTGTGTAAGACTTTCGAATAGAAAACTTGCGTTGTGAAGTGGGTGTGTGCGGTTGGAACAAAAACAGGCCTGTGTCGAGGTAAAGTAGGGTGAAATTTCCGACTGGTTACTTGGAAATTTTGACTTTCCGGTAGGAAATTTCAATTGGAACGAACCAAGTAGTCGGATATCCAACTCGGAAAGTCCCTAAACTTAACCTACCCTCAGCACTTCAACAGAGGTAAAAGCTAGAGAAGTATACTGTTAATCCTGTCTTATTTATGTCTTTTTAACTCCAACTTTTGGACATGGTTGTTTGCACAAAACACAACATATTGTGTTTTATTAATGGGTGTTGCTAACTATCTAGAAAAAAAGCTTTTCTTGGAGGTGTGCATCTTGATTTTCTGACTTCTTGTACTCGAACACGGGCAGCTCAGGAAGGGCACCGTTCCCGATTTCTGTCTTCCAAGATAAATAATCTGAAGCACAGTAAAAGATATGATCCAGTTGCATGACGGGAATAGTGCGAGGGCTGCAAGAAACAAGTATATTCATTGTTAATTAGTCTGCCAAATATTTTGTCGATTAAATTGATTAGTAGTTTTGTCCATATAATGTCAAAAAAATCGTTAAAAATGTAGATAAGTGTCCAAGGTGATGTCCTCAAATGTCTGCTTTGCCCACAACCCAATGATCTTCTTAACCTTACCATCATAGAGGAGGAAAGAAACCAGAGTTTTCCATTTTAAGAAGTTGGAATCAGGGAATTTGAACTTCTTTCTTATAAAAAAATACTTGGATTAACTAGTTATCAAAAATAATTGGCGGAAATAGTTCAGTAGTTGACGACTAATGAATTCATTGCTGCACTTCTAAATTGTAGGATCTAGGATTTGAGGGGCTTGATCCATAGGAGGGTCTTTGCTGCTCTGATTTTGACAATTTAAAAAAATTAATCTGTCAGAAAATTTTGAAAAATGCTGGTCAGTGTTCAAGATGGAGTCCTCAGGTGTCTTGTTTTGTTCACAACCCAAAGATCTTCAGCTTGCTGTCATACAGGAGGAAAGAAACCAGAAAATATTCAAGTTTAAGAAGCTGGACTCAAAGGTTTTCGACTTTCTTGAAAAAATTGCTCAAACTGATTGACCAATTCTCAAAATAGTTTGCTAATATTTTAATATGTGACAATTAATGAGTTAACTGCTGCAGCTCTAAATAGTAGGATCCAGGGTGGCTTGATCTTTAGTCAGGACAAAAAATCAGGATATCTGAGTCTTTGCTGCTAACGCTAATCTGTCCATCCAAGTCCGAGACAAAATTACTGAACAAGCCATTTAAAGTTCTGAAAAGAAAAACTCTCTTTGCATCAAAAATGTCTTGAGCTTTGTGTGACTGTGTTTCTCTCAAGGTGGCCATTCGGGAACCAGCATGTGCCAATAATGAATCAAACAGCACAGTCTCCCCAGAGAGCATGGTGTTGTGAATGGTTTTCTAATATCATTGATTGGTATTTTTCATACAGCGCACTTGTAGTAAAAAAAATAAATAAAAAAATCCGCTGGTCTCCCTCTGGACGGCACCATAATATTCTGTTGGATCAATGTCTAAGACAAAAGGTTACAGAAAGTGTGTGTGTGCACTGTCAAACCCACATGTGGGTGACGATCTCCCAGCCAGCCAGTCAGCCTGCCTCCCCGGCGGCTCGTGTCAGTCATCCAGGTACACCTCATGGAAACATCACATACATCACGCCCCGGGACCGGGGGCGAGCAAAAGGGAAGCAGAAGAAGAGTAGAGAAGGGAAAAGAAAAGATCCATCGCCCCACCCACAGCCATTGATCAGCAATCTGTAAGAAGAGCCTGATCAATCACGCTGCACGCTCAGCCACTGTCCAAGTGACAGGGCCCAAATAGCCCGAGCCAACAGACTGATGAGTGATATGACAAGCGGATGGGCCCCCAAATGTGTCTCGGCCCATTGATTTCCACTCGGCTCGTAATAAGATCAGCAGACATATGGGTCGCAGTGAGAGCGAAGCGTCAGGGCTCAGGATGAATGGAGCGCTGCCGTTGAGCCACACAGATCTGTGTTTATACGGTGGTTCAGCGGCGGTTAAACGGAGCCCAGAGGAGGCTCGTGGCTTCACTGGATTTTTTTTTTTTTTTTTTACGATCGACAAAGTTAGCTCAGGTTGCGGGTTAATAAACTACAGAGGAAACAACTTCAGCTTTATTTACATGGCTGTAAGATACACTTGGGATTATTTATCATGTGTATCATTTGCCCAGTGGAAGAATGACATAGTACCTTACACAGACCACATGATAATTCACTCTGTTAACAAGCTGAACATTCATTGGCAGGGATTTGCCGACAGTCCCGTGGTTCCAGCATTACCACACCACCTCCTGTCAGATTGTCCTCAGGGATGAGGAGCAATCCAGAACAATCCATTTACTCACTATCTTTCCCCCTCGTTTTGCCTCGTCGCCTGAGCCTGTTTTACCGAAGTTGTCTTTTGGTTTGATGATTATTTTACCCACTTTTCTGCTCTCCTCTCCAGCCCAGCGCTGAGCTTCGCCTACCCTCCGACCCCAGTGGCTCTTCACGTGCACCAGCAGCTGATCGGACGCCAACCGGGCATCGTGGGCTCCGCCTTCGGCCACAGCCCCCCCCTCATTCACCCGACGCCGGCCTTCGCCACCCAGCGACCCGTGCCCGGCATCCCCCCGTCCGGGCTCAGCGCCAGCGAGCGCTCAGCCATCGTCAACGACTCCTCGCAGGTGAGAGCGAGCAGCCGGCGCCTCTGCGATTCATCATCGCAGGTAATAGATAGCAGGCGTCGCATGCCAGCCACATGTGAGCGAAGCGCGGCGAGCGAACGTGGTACAGGCAGGACCCCCCCTCCGAGCGCTCCTCTCCGGGGAGTTTCCTCCTACTTGTGTTGTCTCTTGTTTTTTCCGAGGCCCAGAACGTGCCTGCAGCAAACAACAAGGGGCTTGTTAGCATAGAATCCCACTGCTGACTCCATTAATCACTAGAGAGAGAACAAGGATATAGAGAGGGAATATTGACATGGATGGATGGATCCAAAGGGGCTTTTTCTCTACCTTCCTCAACCCCTTACCGTATGTGCGGGCCCACATTTGAAGTAAATATTCAATGTTTATTACCCGTCCTCCCTGCTGTTTCCCGTGCCTTGAATTTGATCACAAATGAGGCCTCATTCAAATTGGGCACCACCAAAATTGCCTTTTCCCTTCCCCGAATAAACAGAATATTGCTTTGGGGCCACAGCTGAATATCAGAGATGAGGACAAATGTGGCACATGTTTACATGGTTTCAGAGACCGAACGGATGAGAGCGTCCTGTTGAAAAGTGTCGGAAACATATTCAGAAAACAGAAAACCAACAAAATGCATCATTTTTTTCTGAAGTTCAAAAACTCCTTCATACTTTAGCAAGCTTGGTCTGTACCAAGAACTCCCCCAAGGGCATATTTAAGCCAGGGCCAAAGTCAGGTCATCCATTGGTTGAATTGGTTCATGAGTTTGTTTTAATTGCAATGATTAGGGCAGCTAATGTGATACACTGAATTGCATAGTTTTTCATTCGCTCAGTTAAAGCTCTTGTCTTCAGATGCAGGAATCATTACGGTTCAACCACAGTTGTTTTTTTTTTTTTTCTGGTTGATTAAGTAAATGATGGATCGACTTATAAGCAACACATGCATTTTTAATAATACCATAAAGGATAAAACAAGAATAACAGGAGCTTTAATTGTCTCTATAGTCAGCACCGCTGCCACTGGAGGCTCAGAATGAGGAAAACGCTCCAATGTGTTCTCTTTCCGCAGACCAAACCTACGAGTGAATCTGCCGTGAGCAGCACAGGAGACCCGATGCACCACAAACGCTCCAAAATGAAACCGGAGGAAGAGTTGCCGAGCCCCGGCGCCGTCAGCGTACAGGTGGGGGTTTTGTCTACGATGTGCAGAAAAAAAAAATCTAAATACATCGTCAGCGATTAACTCCACAGGCTTCCTCCAGCTTCCTGCCAGAACTGCTCACATTCTGGGGAAAAAGACTGGTTGGTGAATCCCAGAATTCATGTTTATTTTTAGATTTTTTTTTCCTTTTTCCACTAGAATAAGAAGCCCATATAAGTGCTGGTCACCTGCCAACACCGGCTGCAACAAAAGAAAAGCTTACCAGCCGCAGCGGGTATTTATTTACCTGCATGTGGCGGCTTGTCGGCGTTAGTTTCCCACCCTGAATTTATCAGTTTCTATTTCCGAAACACTCCATTGATCTTCGGGGCACTGGAAGGAAATTGTTTTTGCCTTTGTTTAATCAAAATTTTTAAGTGGCTGGGGAAATAAAAATAAAAGAGAAGTGCGATAACAGTGAGTGTTCGCATCTGCAGGAAAAAAAAACCTTTCGTTACCAGTCGATATTTGGGCAGCAGCAGCAGATGCAGCCTTGAGGTGAGCAGCTCGCTTGCATTCGCGCCACACCGGCTCCCTCAGCCATCTAAAAGTGTGACAGTGAAATATGTCTGGGCTAATAGAGCAACCTACAGCAGGAAGAGGGGGTTAGATTCCTCAAATGCTCGCCCCAGTCCTGTCGTATAACAGCCCCCAAATACAGAGAGGGGCTTTCAGTGCTACATTTCCGCTCGGCACACTTTTCTCCCAGACAGGGCCAGATTCACGGGGGCACCGCGGCCGAGACCTGTAACCAATAATTTGCCTTTCATGTGACAAATGGCTTTTATGACATGGGCTGATGTTGGGAGAGGGGGGAGCAGTTCTCTTTGCTTTCACACGTGTTACCTGGTGTTAGGTGACGTCGCTGGTTTTAGCTTCACGCTGGTGTGTTGAAACTTTTCTGCTATTTATATGCAGGACCATCCTGATGGCATGACTCTGGTGAAGGAGGAAGGGGACAAGGACGAGAGCAAACAGGAGCCGGAGGTGGTTTATGAGACGAACTGCCACTGGGAGAACTGCTGCAGAGAGTTTGACACCCAGGAGCAACTCGTGCAAGTGAGTACAAACATGAAGAAGAAGTGTGCACACCCTTTATATTGTGTGAAAGTATCAATGCAGAAGTACTCCACTGCAAGTTAAAAAAAAATCCAGCTTAGCTACAAAATGTACTGGTTTGGTCCCAACATTTTTCCAAGTGCCCACATGTGTTAGCAATACTGAGAAAGGGGGATTTCAAACGCGATAGGCAACATTATTTATTTGTTTCTGTTGCTTGTCTCTTTTCTGCTCTGTCAATACACGGCCTGCAGTTCAGTTGAATAGTCCTGCAATTTATGTGTTGGTTATGTGTTGGTTATGTGCCTGCACATGGAGCTACTTTTAACTGCTTTATATGCAGTTTTATATACAGGGATAGCAGATAAATCAGAGGAGAGAAGATACAAAAAGCTCCAACACACAAATCTGTCTTACAGTTTTTCTCTAATATATGATTTTTTGGGGGGAATATTGCATCATTTCGACATTTATTGAAATGAAACCACACCAGAAGTTTCAAGGGAAAAGTCACTATTTGCCAAAAAGGTTAGAAACCACCGATTTAATCTTTAGCAGTGTGTTGTGGTTTCAAAGCTTGTGTCCACTGTGGAAAATCTTCATCCTAAAGGAAACTGAAGCTGACAGATAAATATAGAGGAGTGTTCCTCACTGAAATGTGGTGGATTCAAAGTAGAAAGTTGCATGAAACGGACATACTCGTGTGAAGTACAAGTACCTCAAACTTGTAGTACAGTAGAGTATTTGAGTGAGTGTAGTAATGTGCATAAATGTGTCACATTTAAAGCTACAAGCAACATGTGTAAGGTGACAGCATGTAAACTAATTATGGTGTAAATGTGACACACTTTCCAGTCTCACTACTCTCACTTTACTTTTTAGCAGCTGATTTCAACAACAACAAGAAAAGTCCTAAAAACCTGCAGTACACTAGATTACTCAACCCCAGACGGACACAGCTTGAGGTGAACATAGTGGAACAAGTAGAGAATTTGTTAAAGAAACGGAGCTAAAACAGAGAGATTTTGTACCTGCCAGATACACAGATACCCCAAATGAATGTTTCTTCATAACTCCTGGATGCATAAAGTCCAGCTCCATCACAGAACGTCTGATTGTCCGTGTGTTCCCAACCTTTTCAGCTCCTCAGTATCCAAAAATCCTGCTCTGGGATGTCACAAATGTTTGTTTTCAGTAGTTTTCTCAATTTAGAAATAGAATTGAGCTCTTGCTTGCTGCTGTTTAGCAAATGGTTTGTATTTCACTCCTGCCTTGCGATCCATCACTTCGTATAGGCAGAGAGGTGTTCAGACTTGACCCCAGCTTGTCTTGTAGGTAAACAGTGAAGCACAACGGGGTTTGTCTCGCTGCAAGATTCAGCTCAGGAAAACACTCGCCAGAACTACCCCGTGTTTGCGAGAGTTTTCCCCCGTTCTCTCCCGTCAAGCTCAGCAGCTTCCAGCAGCATCAACAGAAGCCGCGCTATTCTGGACAATGCTTCCTATCAGGCCGCAACCTCTGCAGCCGGCAGCGGAGTCCGAGCTGCAGGCGTCGACTGATACCGCTGCTGCCGGATTCCTGATTGGATCCAGGGACGGTGGTAATGGGGCTCAAAAGCTGCAGAGCACATATCGCAGCTGAATGGCGCTAACTGATTTGGGTGGGTTAAGCCTTCCAGAGTCAGGATGTGAGCTTTGTGCGCCGCTCTGGACCGGACCCCCTCCCCGTCTGTTATCGGACCTCTCACACAGCCCCGGCAGATGGATGGCTCTCATCGTCTCGTGCCCTGAGGGTTCACCGTAGAGCTAAATATTAACCACATTATGGCTGTGTCACTCCCCCCCCCGCCCCACCGCCCCGACTCCGGCTACTTACACCGACGCTATTAGCTCTGCTTCTCGGGCCTGTGAACCCGTCGAAGGGGGGAAGACTCGAGTTGTTGGGAGTGATGAAATTACACCAACATAGGCGACGGTGAAGTGTGCACACCCACACGTGCACACACATCTGATAGAAAGATCCTCAGCTCTCCACAGCTGTCTATTTGCCGTCTTGACATTGCAATCCTCAGCTGCGGTGGTAACCCCTATCTATAATTGATATCCTCAGCACGGAATGGGCTGCCTCCCGTGTTTGAAGGGCTCAGCTCAAAGGTTGAGGATCTTGACAACTTCTTGCCCCTGTTTCAGGTGGTGGGAGAGGAAAAGGGAGAGGATGGCTTCTTAATAGAGGAAAAAAAACCCTTCGCTCCTCTTACTGTATCGTCACACCAGGTGGCCATCCAAACAAAGCACTGTCCTCTCATTCCTCCACATAGACTCTCCAACCTTGCCAAGCTATTATCAGATTGCCGTGTAGACACACGCCGACGAAATCCTTATTAGTTTTCCATCTTGGAATTGTTTTTTTTCTTCCCCCCCTCCCTCCTTTTCTGGCATTTGACTTTCTGATATTTTATTTCTCATTTTCTATGCGCATGCAGATATGCAGAGAGATGCCAATAAAAGTCTTCGCCTACAGAATCCCTGCCCTCTAATTCAGCAGAGCGGACGAGAAAATGCTCTTATCTCTCCTGCACCCCCACCCCCCTCAGTAATAGGATAAGTACAGTATTTGGACCACAGTGGCTCTCCTCACACACTGGGAGGGGTTTTTTTTGGGGGGGTGGTGGGTGGAGGGGGATTTCCATATAACCAAACAATGGAGCGTCCCTTCCCCCTGTACTTGTCTTGTGAAATGGCTTTGGGGGGGGAAAAAAAACACATAATGAGAATTTTTTTTCTTTACCCACCAGCTTTTGCACAAAGTTTCTACGTGTGTTTAGCTTGTAAAAAAAATAAAAAATAAAAATACGACTGCTTGTGTTGACAATCTGTGTCGCGAATTAAACGGCTTTTTGAAGTATTAAAAGTAACGCCTGCACAGATTCAAATACCCCCCCCACCACCACCCTCCTTTTTTTCTTTGTGGTTGGCCTAATTTTAGAATTAAGCCTTCACACCACCCTCATCGCTTTCCACCTTGTTCAAAAGCACTCCTGCCGCGCTCTTGATGCATATTTTTACACTCTCAAGCATGCTTCTCACCATGACATGCCACGGCGTTCCTTTATCATCTGCGTTTAAGCGCTCTCGGTGCAGCCGATAAGATAAACATCAGATCTATGCAATTTGGCTCACTTATCTGGCCTACCCAGTCAGCAAAAGCGAGGCGGGTGTCAATTTTAGTTTGCTGTATTTATTTCATTTATTACATTTCAACTCTCTATACCTCTCCATCTCCCTCTCCGCTCGGCTCCACATTCTTTTGCTTCCCCCTCCTCACCCCTTTTTTTTTTTTTTTTTCAGCGTAAACCTCTCCCTCTCTCATTTTCTCTTTCATTTTCTCTCCCTCCCCTCTTTCCCCTCGGAGGGAGTACTTTTAAAGATAAGGCCTGGTGGCTCCTTTAATGTCTCTCTTGAAGTAGGCTTTCTTCACTCGGGTTTTGTCGCCGGAGATGCCAACCCCACACTCCCATAATTCCCTAATATGGCCTTGCTCAACAATCTTTTATTATTTTCTCATTGATCTATTACTGATTCTTCGCCACGGAGGAAATCTACAAGGGTGCTTTACGTTTCCGCCGCGGTTGTGCGATGGAAATGTTTAGTAAGCCTTATTGTTCTCCTCGTGACAGTGACGTTTCAGTAACAGAGTAACACAGTAGCTCAAAAAATAATAAAGACTGGCGCTTTGTAAGGTGATGTCATCTGAATCGGCACAAAAGTTTTCTTTGCCCCGATTTGTTGGATGAATTTTTATGATTTAACCCAAAAAGATTCTGGGTGTTTTTCTTGCTGCTAATATGAGTTTTTTCATTCAATATAAAGACCTACACCCCTATAAAAACAGCACAAGTGTGGCAAATAGTAGCAAGAACTCCGAAATGTCTTTTGTGCAGTGTGGCTAAGTTAGTAAAATTGCGAAAAAACAAAAATGGAATTAACCCGTACAACATTTTTCCAAGTGCCCACAGGTGGTACCAGGCCTTAAAAAAAAAAAGGTGATTTTACACCTTTTTAAAAAATTGTTTTACTACTTACATTATTAGTCTGTTTCCGTCCACTTTGTAATACACTGCCTGCAGCTCAGCCGAATAATCCTGCATTTTTTTTTTGTGTGTTGGTTGCAGTCATGATTTCCCGCTAGTTTATTTTTTACAGAATCTAGTTTATTTTTGCTAAATTTTTAATGCAATATGTAGAATCACATGATGTTTGATAAATGATCAGTGATTTAAGCTGATTATATTTTTGGCTCAGATGTCATGTCGCAGATGTGCACTAAGTGAAAAAAATCAGACAATTCTTTCAGTTTTTACAGATTCTGATAAATGGTGTCATAAATGAACAACAACATGCCTTCCAACTCTGCTGCCAGAGGATTAAAGTTTAATTTATCTTCCAACATGACAGCTTGTGTGCAAACAGTTGAACCTTTTCTGGCTGGTGAACTTGAGAATTCAGATCCTGTCCTGTTTCTGCGCGCCATGTAGGATGTGCCAGCCTATATATATACGAGGGCGTTGGTGGTCTGCATGTGTGTGTTCTCTCGGCTCATCAGGCCTTTTCCACCCTCCAGAGTTTCCCCATTCGGTTCCAGGTCATCTACATAGGTGGCGCTGTGATGTCCTTGATGGGGGGGGAGGCGGCTCTCGCGTCGAGGCGGCGGCTGCTGTTCGGTGTTAAAGGGAGATAAACGCAGGCGCAGTCTGAAGGCAGCCCCCCTCCTCTCTGGCTGCTGGCACAGGCCTTTAATTGGTAAAATGCAGATTTTTTTTGATCAGGAGAAGGATTAGGCCCCTTATCTGTCTAGAGTATCTTACTCCAAGATGAAAAGACTGTGCTGAATTACACATGCCAATTCTAGCTCCCTGCCCCCTGCTCGCTCACTCACTTACTCTCATCCTCCCTCCTTCACTCATTCCATCTCACTTCCCCCCTTTTTTTTTTCCATCTTCCCTCCCTCCTTCTTTTCCCCCTTTATTTTTTTTTGCCTTTTTCATGCTCGTCCCCCCCCACCTCCACCCCCTCTTTACACAAAGCACTTCAGCAACTGACATCACAAAAGAGCATATGATTTATTAGGCGGTGTTTGATAAAGCTAAACGGTGTTGCGGGTCCCACAGCTTAGTGAAATTGCCTTGTAAACAGGCCCTCTTTTCATGCACGCTTGCATTCTAATGCATGAAGCCCGTGTCCCAGAGAGGGTTTGATAAGGAGACATGGAGATGGATACTGAAGTGGGAAAGTAGCAGAAATAAAAAAAAAAAACGAGACTACAGTAATGCATATGAGCTTCGCAAATAGGGGAGGGGAAAATAATTTAAAATCAGAAGCTTTTGTTTTCTAGAGAACACAAAATCAAGAATCGCGGTGTAGAATTACGCGTGTTTTACTCCTATTTGTGGTTGTTTTTTTTTGGCGGCTGCACCTGCGTGTATGTATGTGTGTGCGCCCCTCATACGTCACAGACGGCTCCAGTGTCCCCTGTGTCCGTGTCCCTCGCGTTCCCTGTCGCGCGACTCCCTCCTAAATCCATCTTGGTGGCGTTTTTACAGTTGTTGGCCGATAAGCTGGCAGGGGGAAGATGAATAACCTGCCGCGCCGCCGCTATCAGCACCTGTTTGTCGATTTAGCCGGCCAACGGGACCTGTCTGCTCAGCATGGAGATTATTGATTCAATAAGAATTGCCATTAGATCATGCCATTAGGTTTCTCGGCAGCCCTCCCCGCCAACACCTCACCCCTCTCCCCTCCCGGTGCTGTCTGTCCCCCTCTCTGTCAGCTCGGAGCCTCATGCATCAACACCCGTCAACGACCTCCTTCATTTGTACAAACAAGGAGTGTGAGCGTGCATCCGTCTGTGTGTGTGTTTGAGCGCGTCGTGCCAGCCGGCCGGCGTGATCCAGCACCGCCGCGCTCGCTCCCATCGCTCTCAGCCGGGGGATATTGAACGCTGGTCACAACAGACCGATCGCTTGCCACAGGGATTCCCTCACAGAGAGGAAGAAAAAGAGAAAGACGAGTCAGGTTTTCTGAAGCTCCGAACAAGGTGGGGAGGAGATCAATCTTCGGGGTGGGGGGAAACTTCACCAACGTCTATGGTCGTCCAGTTCCCAATCATTTTCCCCTTGAATTAGTCTTGTTTTGTCACTTTAAAATTAAAAAATGTCAAGCGAGAATAATGGAGGTTATTTGCTGATGTATTAGTGTCCATTTCGCTCATTGCTTTTCCTTTTTGCGCTCCGCTGTTACTGTGCTGATTCATTTGTCGATACTCCTGCTTTCTGGAGCCGGGGTCAAAGTGTGGCTTGAGGAAAGATTGAAAGCGGTGCGGGTTTCTGCTGGGTGTCACGGTCGTGCACCGTGGACAGCGAGAAGGTGCAAAGATGACATTGTCAGGGGAGTGTCACGCCTGGAGGGGAAGCTGAGCCGGGATGCTTTACTAGTTTCGGTTTTATAGTTCAACAGTGCTCGCAAAAAGCATTGATTCCTCCAACATTTACAAGCAAAGTCAAGTCTGTATTTATCTCCCCTTCTCCCATCCGTCCCTCTTCATTCGCCCCCGAGGTAAAAAGTCTCCTCTGCTGCTCAGGAATGTAATAATACTGGTTTCTTTGGGTCAGGATATTGTCTGTCTCCCTGGGTTTAAATTGCTCTCAGAAAGGCACTTCAGAGGCCACCACACACTGTTGTCTCTGAAAGAGAGCCAGATGTTGACTTCATCCCCAGAGGGTCTACGTCTGCATGTTTTTTTTCTTCTTTCTTTCCCCCTCCTCACCTCTTTCATTCCACTGCAACATCCACCACTTAGCCCGTTTTACAAGACAGTGAGAAAAAGATGGAGGAAAAGGAGGAGAGAAAGGTGGTGCTCGCAGATATAATGCTTGGCTGGAGTTGTAAAGCCCTTGCATTTCTGAAGCCTTGACTGAACTTTTGATTTTTTTTTTCTCACCCTATCTCCTCACCTCCCTCCCGACTCCCCTTCTTCCTAAGCCTCAGATTGGAAGTTGCCACGGCAGCACAACTGTCAGCACTTGTCATGGAGGGGCGAGGGCCCAATGTGATGCGAAGTGACAGGGTTTTATTTGAAAATCCTGTTCAGATCGGACACTGAGACTCACAAGTCTGCCTGTTTTTCTTTCTTTTTTTTTTCTTTATGCCCGCCTTTGTGCAGATTTCAACAGTGAGAGAAAGAAAAAGGGCTGGAAAGGAAGGAAGGAAGGAAAAAGTTCAGAGGGATGAGATGGAAGAAATTAAATGGAGAAAGTACAGCATGAGAAGAGATGGAAAACAGGAAAGCAAATGTTATATTTGCCTCTTATACTGCAGAGCAAACGTTTCCTGAAGCCGAACAACAAATCAGCTCAATGCAAAACGACACTGCGCTTAGCTCTCGCTTCATGTGGAGGCACAGCGAGAGCGTATAATAATAACGCAGCCCTGCTTTAAGTTCTCTCATCTTCTTTTCTAGCACATCAACAATGACCACATCCACGGGGAGAAGAAGGAATTTGTGTGTCGGTGGGAGGAATGCTCTCGAGAGCAGAAGCCCTTCAAGGCACAGTACATGCTGGTGGTCCACATGCGCAGGCATACTGGGGAGAAACCACACAAGTGCACAGTAAGGATGCACATATTTGTTCAGTTGACTCCATTTATTTGCAGATGGAAATCTGTTTTGCATGATGACACAAACTCCTGGTATTGAATTGAGTGATGCTCTATTCCTTTTGTTTCTTTCCACAGTTTGAAGGCTGTACCAAGGCCTACTCCCGCCTGGAAAACCTTAAGACTCACTTACGTTCCCATACTGGAGAGAAACCTTATGTGTGCGAACACGAGGGCTGCAACAAGGCTTTCTCCAATGCGTCAGACCGGGCAAAACATCAGAATCGCACACACTCAAATGAGGTACAGACGAAGATGCTTTCAGATCGTCAAATTTAGTCCTCCAATTTCCTACCACGATGTTTTACCGTCTCCCTCCTCTCTTTTAGAAACCCTATGTGTGTAAAATCCCAGGCTGCACCAAACGCTACACGGATCCCAGCTCCTTACGCAAGCACGTCAAGACGGTACACGGGCCGGAGGCGCACGTCACCAAGAAACAGCGTGGAGATTACCCACGCCCTCCGCCCCAGCCTCGGGAGCCTGGAGGCAACAGTCAGGGTCGGTCGCCAGGGCAACTGCCCCTGGGTGGGTACACGGACCAAAGGGAGTACAACCATGCTACCTCAAAACAGGATGAATGTCTGCAGGTCAAGTCTATCAAGACAGAGAAGCCCATGGTAAGACTTCACTTCAGGTTTTCTAGTTGTTCTGCTTAGACTCTTTGACTTTTCTAATGTTTCTAACTAGTTTCCCTTTTTACTTTAACAAATAATTTGAATGCATTGAATTGGGGGCATGCTTATTTACCACCAAACTATTTCACATCTTCTAATGAGTACATGTTTTCCTCTATCCAATGCTTCGGCATTTCTCTCCTTCCCTTTCTAAGGACAGTGGGTAATCAGGTGAGATAGGTATCACTTCGCATTGCATTTGTAAAATATTCTTCCCATCTTTCCTGTTTCGATCGTCTCGACTTTTCTCATCTGATCACAACTGCTTGACTTTTTCACCCTGAACGTGCCAGATTTGTTCTCATCACAGGTTTCTCTCATCCCTCACATTCATAAAAAAGATTCTTCTTCTCATTTCACCGCACGGCACTTTGATATTTCCCGAAGACGATGCATTTCTATGAGGAGTGCCAATGCCTTTGGGCAGAACTGCAAGGGCACTGAAAGTATGCGTGATACTGCCCAGGGCTGCTCTGTGCAGCCAGATTCACTCACTACTAAACAGGGATGAATAGCCTTCCAACACTGCTGACACTTGATGCCAAAAAAAGTGATTTCATTATTCCTCAGTGCAACACAGTTCCTAAAATTCTGTAAACAATCTAATTAGGCCGTGGCCAGTCACACAAGAGACCTTTATCCAATTCTCTGAAAACAACCAAAAACATGATTTTGCCTTTTGAAGCTTTTTTTTTTTTTTTTGTATCCCAACTGGGTCAGGAGGCATTACCCATGCCCCAATAATCTACTAAGCGGTATTTAACAAACACATCTTTTTTTCCTGGTAGAACAAAGTTGGTTCTCACAACTTCTATGATTATACAGGTTCATTACAGGAACATGTAATTATTATTTTAGTTGCCATTGTCTGACGCTATAGAGAATACATCCCTCCAAGCATTACATTGTGTCATTGTTTGTGACGTTCAACATTGTGTATCTTCCCCTTGTGTTACCTGGAGCTAACTCGATAATCGTCTGCTTATCTCTTTCTTCTTCCTCCTTTTTCTCTCTTGCCCTTCTTTCTTGGTCTTGTCAGACGTCTCAGCCAAGCCCTGGCGGTCAGTCTACATGCAGCAGTGACCAGTCCCCCGTCAGCACCTATCCCAGCAGTGGAGTCCAGCTTGCTGTGAGCGCCGGACGCTCGCCAGGGGAGGGGCTGGAGGAGGACGAGGAGAAAGAGGAAAATGAAGAGGAGCTAGAGGAGTGTGAGGGTGAGCCAGCCCCCATCATGGACTCCACAGTCTCCACAGCGACCGCGGCCATGCTGACCCTGCAGGCGAGGCGAAGCATCGGCCGCCCCCTGCGCTGGATGGAGCACATCAAGATGGAGAGGCTGAAGCAGGTGAACGGAGCGCTGCCCAGGCTGGGGCCACTGTCCCCTACACCGCCCCCCAAAGGCACTGCAGTACCCAACATCCTGGGGAAGGGTAAGGTTATCTTTTCAAACCGTCATTTTGTGCTTTGACCCTCTGAGCCCCAAAACCTGCTGTCAGGTTTGGGATTCATAGTATTATTTTTAAAAATGCCAAAATGACACCATTTGTCAGAGCAGACAGGTAGAATCATTGGATTTTCAACTTTCTCACAGTCCTTGAATTTGTTGTGTGACTGTCAGTTAACCAGTCCACCAAAACTAAGCTTAAAATTATAGTATTTCAACAAAATCACATCTCTGTCGTTAAAAATATGCCAGAAACAAACTGTGTACAATAATCAGATTCTGTAAAAAAATGAAAAATAAATTTTAAAAATAAAATTCTGCACTCCTCAGTGCAACCATAAAGCCATTGGTAACTCAGCTGTGATCAACAGTCACATGACAAAATTTCAAGAACTATTAGTGTAGTAAAATATCTAAATGTATGTAGAACAACCATCTGTTTTCCAGTGTGGGTAAAAAAAAATGGTAGCACTTGAAAAACATTAGACATGGTAATTGCAGATTTTTCCATTTTTTATGAAATAATCATTTTTCTTTTTTTATGATTTGTGGCACTAAAACTTTGTTATACTGCAAAAAAAGACATTTTTTGTGTACTTCACACCTTCCACACAAGTCTCTGCTGTTTCCTTAGAGGTGCAGGACTTTATATTAAAGTGAAAAATGAGCCCACAGTCAGTAAAAATATGACGGGAGCAAAATATGTCCAGAAGCTGCTTGGGGTTATCTGAGGTCCAAGGCAGCATGGGAAACTTTTTGTCTTAAAATGTTTTACAAAAACAGCTCACATTTGAGTTCATGTGGGTATTTTGCTGTTACACAACATCTGTTCACAGAATTTACACATCAACACGACAAATCAGAGAAATTAATTATCCTGAATTCTATCTTGCCCATTTTGGCTGAAGGACTAAGGCAAAACAAATGCTTAAAATTTACTGTTCCGCTGGAAAATGGTATCAAGCTGTATATCATATCAGAAACAATAGCATGTAATGTAATGTTTCATGGCCAAGTGCTGCCAGTTGTCTGTGGTAACATCTGTTTGAGAGATCTCTCCACACTAACACTTAACTTATTTGGCTTCTTCTCTCTCATCCTCCAGTTATACTCCTTTACTAAACTCTTTTCCTTGTTCATTCCATCATTGTGCAGAATTTCTTCATTCCATTTTCTCTTGCTGTGTGTCTCCACAGGATCCTGCCTGGGCAGGCAGTGGGGGGTGTCTGTTCCTCAGCCACCTGCTCCTGCTGAGCTGGGCAGCACGGAGCTAACGGTGCTCAATTTGCTCCGAGACCGGCGTGACAGCAGCGGTAGCGCCACCAGTTCAGCCTACCTGAGCAGCAGCCGACGCTCCTCGGGCATCTCCCCCTGCTTCTCCAGTCGACGCTCCAGCCAGGCTTCCCAGAGTGAGGGTACAATGGCAGCCGCCCACCACCGCCGCCTCCACAACCTTAGCTCCACCGATTCTTATGATCCCATCTCCACTGACGCCTCCCGCCGGTCCAGTGAGGCTAGTCACTATGGAGGTGGGCCAGGAGGAGGGGGTGGAGGGATACTCTCAGGTGGGGGCTGTGGAGGTATAGGACCAGTAGGCTTCGGAGGAGGTGGGGGGTCGCGGGGGATGCTAAATCTGACCCCAGCACAGCACTACCACCTTAAAGCCAAGTATGCAGCAGCAACTGGCGGCCCACCTCCCACGCCTCTACCCAACATGGAGCGCATGAGCTTGAAGACTCGCATGGCCATGATGGATGAGGGTGGCAGCAACCACTGCTTGCCACCTCTAGTCAGGCCACCACGCTGCAGTGAAGGCACCAATGGGTACAACAATGGGTATATGGGGCATGCAGGTTACAGGAGGAGGATCCTATATCCTGGTGAGGGACCACTGAATGGGAACCGGAGGGCCAGTGACCCAGTGCGGACGCAGGCTCCTGAAACTTGCAATTTTCCCCCTGTGCAACGCTTCAACAGCCTTAATAACCTCCATCCTCTTCCACCTCTGGCTCATCATTCTACACCTGAATCTCGTAATTTTAGCCTACAGAACTACACACGCTCAGAGGGAAACCTGCAGAGAGGCCTGCAGCACTCACCATACACTCCTAGCATTGCAGAACACGCGGCCTTAGAAGCTCTGGCCATGGAGGATGATGGGGAGGCTGGCTTGTTGCTTGGGGACGAGGATATGCTACCAGATGACCTGGTACAGTATCTCCACTCCCAGGTTCAGGTGGACAGTGGCTCCTACATGCACAATGAGGACCAAATAGCTTCTAGCCAAAGGGACATCTCCCATCTATCCATGGAGGAGATAGACCAGATCCAGACTTCAGGGTTTAATATGACCTTCCCTGGGTCCCACAGTCTACAGCAGCAGATCGCAGAGAGGAAGAGCCCCAGTAAGCTTCCCATCCAGTGGAATGAAGTGAGCTCCGGGAGTGCTGACAGGTCCCCTCAGAGGGAACAGAACCATCTTTCACAGTGTGGAAGGTGGCCAGGCACAGAACATGGACCTGTATCTGCACCATTTGGCAGGTTTGGTAACATGGTGGTTCAGCAACAAGTTGATTTCCAGAACAGTTGTGCCCAGGCTAATCAGTCTCAAAGTGCTTGCTGTGTCAACCTTGGGGTGAAGCTAGAGACAACCCCTAACTCTTGCTTGGAGATGAAAGGCACTGGTCATAACTCAACAAACACCTTTGGCAGGCCTAACTTCTCACAAATCCTCGATGGGCCTCTTCCCCAGAGCTTCAAACAGCAGGCCTCCATTGGACCTCAAAAGCAGAGCCACTTCCAGCAGAACCACAACAGCAGCACCTCTTGCCAGGTTGGAAACAACCTACTCCTTAGCAGGGCATCCATGGACAGCCTCCCTAGCCTCTCCCAGGGTACTGCTCTTCATCACAATCGGCTCACACATGCCCCTCGCCCACCAATCAACGGTTACAGGAATTCGGTCAGGACCCAGCAGTACCTCAATCCTGAGACCTCCAATGAAATCCAATCTTGCCCCAACCAGCAGCAACAACTGCAGAGGAGTGGGGACCACTGTTCCCTTGCACATCAGGTTTCTGGGCTGAAACTGGAGACCCAGGACCATGGATACTTAGAGCAGGCCTTTGGTGACTGCCTCTCTTACGAACCAGCAGATCGCAAGGCCTCCTCATTCCCTGTTCTGGAGGACCAGTGCTTGCTGGACTCCATAGCTGAGTCTGAAGGACAAGGTGGTGGCAATGGCAATGGGAACTCTGTTGCCCTTCTCTCCCCTGGTGTTGACCAGGTGACCAGCACAGTGGACGGCAACGTACCTGGTGTATTAGATGAAGGGGTAAGTCTGGACTTTGGTGCCATGCTGGAGGATGGCTACGACCAGGGTAGCCTGGTCTCAGGGGTGTTGAGTCCCTCCATCTTCCAGGGTCTGTCCAGGACATCCTCACGCCTCACCACCCCTCGAGCATCCGCTACCTTCCATAGCGTGGCCCCCGGGCTAAACAACATGGCCATTGGAGACATGAGCTCTCTCCTCACCACCCTCGCTGAGGAGAGCAAGTTCCTGGCGATCATGCAGTAGCTGCTCTCTCTCTCTGCTTTCTCCTCCCTTAGGAAAAATGGAAAATAGGAAGAGAAAAACTCTGGTGTATGTGAAGATTAAGACAAAAGTGGCAATTATGAGAACTTTATTATGTACTTAAAAGTGTTCTGAAACAGCAGTTGCCAAACCCTTTTATTTTGTAAAAATGTCATCCCACACAGAAATGGGATGTGTCAAAATTATGTATAAATAAATAGTTATATTCCTTTTCTGGAATGAAGGCTATTTTTGGAAGCCCTTCGCTTTGTATAACTATGTGATGGTGAGCAAAAGCTCACTTCCTTGAATCAGTATTCTGTGTATTGTCACTGTTTTTGCTGTACGCGCTGTTGGTAAAAATGCATGTACTCAAGCTAAACATTGAACACTGTCTATATAAGTACATAGACTAGCCCATGTTGCCAAGTGTCAACCGTTCTAATCCTACAGGTACAATGCCGCTAAATCCATTCTCGTTATAGCAGGTGAGACATGGGTCATTAACTTAACCGGCCCTGATGACAACTTTATATATCATAGGTTTTAATAAGTGGTATAATTACATTTGTTGTCATTTTGTTTCTGTAAGTTACTTTTGTGAAGCTGTAGATGTTTCCGTGCTTCTACCAAGTTTTACCAAGTGATGTTTTTGTCAAGATGGTATTGAGTCCAAAAAAAATAAAAAAAATGGACAACACATCCGAGTTTTCAAGGCACCGTAGATTGTCGTCTACTTGATATCTAAATGGCTTGATTTAGTTAGTCTGGTAAGGTACTCACAAGTGTATATAACAGTGTTTTCATATTCTGTTTGTGATCTGATTTTTGATGTTGGATTGCACGGTTGTTCAGAGCTGATGTGTAAATGGACATTCTCTCCTTGATTTGGTGCTTTTATGTATGCTTACACGAATTGATATGAGTACTTTTATGGTTTTAAACTGTCTTAATGAGCAACAATGGTCCGCAGCACACACTACGTGCTGTAAAGTAATGTGTTTTGTTTTTATAGGAAATCATCCGTATTGTTTTCTCCAAAGCTCTTAAATTCAGAATGTGTACTGCCATCAAGTATTGCAGTGACTTTGTCAACAGTGTTAGTATTGCCTTGCAGTCTTATGTGACTGCACACAGAATATTGAGTAGTTTACCTTTTATTCAGCGTCAAAGCAATGAGGTACAAACTGTTTTATTGTTCTTTGGTACTTTTGTCTTTTTTGTAGCTGTGCATTGATGTTGTTTTTTGTTTTTGTTTTTTTTCAAAGAAGTAGAAATCATTTCCTTTGAAAGAAGGAAATTACAGAGGTATGTGCCTTATACCTGTCGGTAAAGAGAGAGATCACTGCCAATCTTCCATTGTGAATTATGAAAAAAAATAAAAACTAAACAAGTGTCTCGTGAGACCTGAAAAAGAAGATAAAATGACAGAACATTTATATAAGAAAAGTCTGAATATCAGAAAAGTTAAGATTTGCGAAATGCATTCTACTTTTCTTTGATTTTTTTTTTCTGTTTTTTTAAGTTTTCACATTTATTGTGCTTTTATATATATTATGTAAATACATTACTCTTTCTGTAGGTTTAGCAGAGGAAATGGGGGAAGTATCCTGGGACCAATAAAGAACTGACTTTGAAAGCAGGGATTCCCAGGCCCTGGGTAGAGGCCAGGCGGATCTGGCTCAGAGCGGAGCTTCAAGTGCCCAGCGCTGCCCCTCCGCCAGAAGAGCCGCTTTGCTCTTTTATAACTGACTACAAATGTTTGTATGGTTTTAATAAAAATGGAAATTATATTTTAAGTCTCTTTTCTTCTTTATGTGACAGTTCCGATAGTGTGTGGAAAATTTGGGTTTGAGTTATGTATTTGTTTTAATGAAGACACAAACCTAAGATAGAAGATAATATGAATGAATGACTTCTCTAATTCTGTTCAGATCCAACCTAAATTAAAACCGCAAGCGGCGATGGACGGGTCCTCGCACCTGCGCTTGTCGGCCTTCACGCACGGCGGGGTGTGGCGCAAACCTGCTCCGCGCGGGACTGTGATCCGGCATGTCGAGTTTGGGGCAGATCGGAGCAAATGTGGCCTAGTTACGAGCCACTTCCTGTTTAGTGGCGAGCCGCGGCGGCATGCGTGTTGGCCGGGATGGAAACGCGCTCTGGCTGAGACTCGGAGCACACGTGTAACATGTCAGGCTGATTGGAGCACAGACAGCACGTCTCGTATTCTTGTGTTTTATGGCGTTGAGGCCAAATTCAGGGGGGTGCCATTTCCATGCCGTCACACTTGTGCGGACCGTTTTACTAACGTGTAATCACCACCTCCTGTAGTTTGTGCTGGCCAAATTTCAGGTGTGTACGACCTTCCCTGTAGGAGGAGATAGATTGTGAAAATGGGCAAAAGTCAGCCAAATGCGGCAAAATTGACACAGGGGTTTTTCAACATAACGGACTTCCTGTTGGGTTTAGGGCTTGGCACTGATTGACTTTTTTGTGCGTCCTGACCTGCTACATATGCAAAGCGAATCTTGTAGCTGTAGGTGAACCGACCTTCCGACAAGAGTCAGTTGAATGCAAAAAACACTGCGAAAATGGACAAAATGGCCATTAATCGAAATTGGACAGGCTGCCATTTCCAAACCGGGCCTCAGCGGAGCATTTGAAGAACTTTCAGTCACCATGTCCTGTAGTTTGTGCTCACCAAATGTGTGTACGACGAACCCCCTAGGAGGAGTTCGATTTAGAAAATTGCCAAAAATTGCCATTTTTGAGCAAAAATGGCCTGGCATGGTAGCGGTTTTTCCAACATGGCGGATTTCCTGTTGGGTTTACAGAAACATGCTAATGGACTTTTTTGTGCGTCACAAGTTGCTACACATGTGTGGCGAATGT